TGAAGTTGTTTCATTGGCAGGCCGACTGGCTACGGCTCCCGAGCGGTCGGTGAGGGGCGTAGTTCGTTTGGTGCTGCCATGTATCAGCTGATTATGGCGTCTCTGGCACCCATTTACACCACAGAGTTTGGTGTTGTGACATTCTCTGGCGAGATGTCCCCTTTGCAGACACCAGAGGCACAGTCCCTTGTCGAATATTAGGTCGATTCTTCTTTCGACGTCCAGATTTTTGAACTCACGACACTGGTGCAGTCTGTGCTCACCACCGCACTTCGGACACGACGCATTCCCACCTGGTTTCTGTGCCGCTGATGGAGAGGCTGGTGACGAAGTTGCGGTAGCATGCGCTGCTCGCTTGGTCGTCTGGTCTCTGGTTCTCCCCCGCCTGTCACTCGGCATTTCAGCGGTTTGGCAGAGCGATGCAATTTGGACCTGTTTCAGCAGCCAAACGTCCAGGTCGATGAGTGATGGATGTCTTGGGTGGAGTTCGAGCACATGTTTACCCCATTCACGCCGTAGATATTCTGGAAGTTTGACCACCGTTCTTCGGAGATTCTCTGTGCTGTACAGGTCCGCCTCATATCCTTGGGCCTGCATGAGCGTGACCGCGCAGTGCAGGGCGGAATGGAAGTACTCCAACGATCGAACACTGTTCTGAGGAGGTTCAGCCGAGAACACTTTCTCGAGATGTACCTTAATCACATCCGTGCTTCGGCCGAAACGATCTTGTAGAGTTTTGAGGGCTTGTTGGTAGAGGTTGCCGTCAAATAACATGCCAGCGATGGCTTCTTGCGCTTGTCCCATCACTGACGCTTGCAGATGAGCCATTCTTTCCGCGTCGCTGAGCGATGGCTGGTCGTGCACGAGCGCTCGGAACAGTCCGACCCAGCGCGGCCACTCAGACGGCTTGCCTGAGAAGGTCGACAGCTGGAGACGGGGGATGCTCTTAGTGAACGCGGATGTCGTAGGAGCCGGACGTGGTGCAGCCGTCGGTCGCAGCTGATCTATCCATGACGTCTGGCTTGTGGACATACCGGGACTGGGTGCTACGGCCGGAGGTTCTAGTTGCAGAGGTTCTTCTCTGATTTCGGTTAGAGGTTCTAGAGGTTCTCTGGGCGTAATGGAGACTGGCTCGGAGAAACGAAGTTGTGATCTGGAGCAGTTCAGCCTTTGAGAAACGCTTTTCTCGGTGATCGCTTCTCCCAGATTTTCATCCATAAAATCGTCTCGCCTGTCTGCATTGAGCTCGTCTTCCATTTCTTCCCTCAGGTCCGCCTCCAGTCGGGCGGCTTCAGCTTCATCTCTGGCTTTCTGAAGGTCTCTCTCGAATTGCAGTTCTTCCTCTTGCTTCCTTAGTGTCCTTTCTCGCTCCAGCTGGCGCACGCGCAATTCCTTCAGTTTGGATGATATCCTGGCTTCAGCTGATGCATGAGAGGCCGCCGAGCTGCCACTGACCTGTGACCTTGCTCGGCGAGCGACGCTACGGGTCATGCGTGACACTGAGCGTCCCAAGCCGTCTTCAGGTTGCCCTCCTCCATCCTCGCTGAAGTCAGTCTGTCTCGTAGAGGTCAGCTGTAGTTCGTCTGTGGTGCTTGTCATGAACGTCTCGATTTTCTCCTCGATTCTCTCTTTCTCCGTACGAACTTCGTTTAAGTACTGAGCCTCATTTTCCTTTTCTTCCTCACTCTGCGTGTATCCAGAGATACATTCGTGAACGGCCATCAACGCTTGGAAAGCGCTGTCCATTTCTCTGCGGATATTTCCAAACTGGACGCGTGAAGCTCTATCTGTCACGAGAGCTTCAGCGCGCCGGAAAATCCTTGTGAGAGCCGCCCGATGACGACCTCTCACCTGTCTGAGGTGCCGCCACTCCCCGTTGGAGCATTGGCCTTCTCGTGGTTCTTCTCGGGCTGTAGTCACTGCAGCTTGTCCTTGACCTGCAGCGGCTGGTTCAGCTGGTACTTCTTCCATGTCAGCGGTTTCTTCTTTGTCACTTTCCCCCATTCGCTCTAGAGACGGGCTTGCTTCTCCACTTGCCATAGTTCAGGATCCGGCCCGGAGGACCAGCAAATGTCGCCGACAAACTGTCGTTCGGAGTTCTTTTCTGGTTGGATGTGGACTGTATTTTATTCGGTGAGTTTGTGCGACATTCGTAGCCCGCCCGCCTGCTATGTGAGCTCCTGGGTTTTTGATATTCGGCGATTTTCAGTAGTAGATAGACGTGAAGATTTCCCGTAGAGGATTTATTGAAGTATACGAAGAAGAAGCGGAAGCAGTTGTGAAGAAAACCGGTAGATGAAACACGCAGACACGGAGCACCATTCACTTTCGCTGTACAATCTGAAGCACTGACACTGCCCCGCCGGGCGCGGCTGCGCGCAGGAGAGTCGGTCTGCGCGCGTGCTTCTGTACTCTGTCCCCGCTCAGCCGGGCGAGGCGTCGAGCGGGGCAGATAAGTCCGTGCGCACAGCGCGACGGTCGAAGTGAGACTCTGCCGGGGTCGTACGTGACCCACATTTTATACGCAATGCTTTAGACGTGTGCAAAACGAGTGCGAACTTGCACTGCAGCGGAGAGGTGGCTGAAGGCGCCAGCTTGGCGGCCTACGTGCCTTAAAACGACGTGTCTTTAATTTATATCTCGGTCTCGGTGGCGGCCGCGGCGCTGCTGCGTCTCGGCAGCGTCAGCGGCACGCGTACCGACCGCCGGCCGCGTCTGCTCGCGGCCCCGCCCTGCACAATGCCTCACAACTCATCCTGAGTCTGGACGGGGTGACGGCGGTGCGGCGGCGGGACGGCTGCAGCGAGCGGCGGCGGCGCCGCGGTGGCACGGCGGCCGGCCGGCTATCACGGCGGCATAGCGGTAGCGCGGGTTGGTCCGAACACTTTCGTCGGTGACAGCTAATGTCCTGAGCGCTCTGTGTTACACTGGCGTTCCTGCATCTCCCTTTGAGGCTGCGTTGTGCCGACGTGCGTGTGTGTGCCCGTGGGCGGGCGGTGCCGCGTTTGAAGTGCTGGCACGCGGGGTGGGTGACTGGCTGTCCCGCCGGTGCGCAAAAGGAATTTCGACGTCGCTGTCCTCACTTCCAGCCCGTCGGCAGACCCACTTGTCCGTGACGACGGCTAGACCGTCGTCGAGCCGCCCTTCGTCCGTCTGTCGCCGGGAATTTTCAGCGATAACTGGCCGACGGCGCTGTTGCCGCTCCGTGCAGGCCGTTGAACCCACCATAGTTGAGTCGCCGGTCCCACCATTCAGACAGTCTTGGTAGGGTTTATTGTGTACTGCAGCGCGCCTATTATGCGGTGTCTGGTTAAGCAGCATGACAGAGCCATCAACGTCTGAGCTTTGCTTGTAGAGGCGATGCATAGCAATGTTGCGGGCATTGACATGAACTGAGAATGAATTGGATTGAAGACGCAAGGATAAATGAAACTCATTAGCTTGTTCCCGCCAATATTGCTGGTAGCGCTTTGGCAAGTGCTCGAAGAACGATCAAAACAGCATTATACATTTAAAGGTAGTGTGCCACCTTTGAAAGATTTCCCATTTTATTTTTCCTAGGATAAGAAGCTTCTGTTTTTACCTAATATCGCAAAAAATCAAAAATGGGCCTGGAATAGTGCCTTTTTCGCCTAAAAGTTTATCGGTTTTTAGATATGTATAACAACTGTAGTGGGCTCACCTGCAAACAGGCGTCGGGCAACAATCGCGAATGCGGCGCACTTGTGACAATAAGCAAAGGTCATTATAGTGTTACGACCATACGACGTACGGGAATGAGTTATCAGCTGTCTAATCGTAGACAGCACAATGTCGAGCCTTAAACTGTAAGCCCGTATTGGTATTGTTTCTTTTATTTGGCTGTCGAACATTATTTATGGTTTGAAATATGATTTTATGTAAAATAATTGATATGAAAAAGCCGTCTTATAAGTTATGACCCCATTTCACCACACGCAAGTGGCAGAAATGACAATGATCAGCTGACGCATTTTTCTTGGCCGAAGTCAGAGCGCGCAGCCCGACGCACCACCACCGCACCACAAAGTATGAGCAGAAGCCGCGCCCAAAGCCAGGGCCCCGGTAACGTGAGGTAGCCGAGTCGGGGCAGCGTGCGCTGACCCAAGCCGGGGCCGCAGCTTTGGGCGCGGTCTACCGCATCCCCGCGGGCAGCCCCGGGCTATCACATGACACTGGGAGGACGCGCGGCTCCGGCTTGGGTCAGCGCACGCTGCCCTGACTCGGCTACCTCACGTTACCGGGGCCCTGGCTTTGGGCGTGGTCTACCGCACCACCTAACAGGCGTGTTCGAAACCGCAGGAGCTGATGATGAACGGGTTTATCGAAACTTGATTGGATGAGCATATCGGTAATAGCGATTTCAGTGTGTGCATTTATTGTTCATAGTGGTGTGAAATGTGGTTGGGGTACGACCGACAACCCGTCGGGGCGAATTTCGCACTGGGGTACTCAAAATTTGAAGAATTTAAGACATTTCCATGAGTTTTGAAGGTATGGATAAGTTCTAAAAATCCGGTTCTCCTTATCTGGGCCATTAACTCCATACGGTCCAGGAAAGCTGGCACACTACCTTTAAACGGACAATATCGGACGAATCATATGCTAGTGTTACGGTCGTTCTCATCAGCTTCGTCCTTGAGGGCTTACCACTGCGCTGTCGTGGTTTAACACTGCTGCAGCTATTGCGCAGTATTCGGCTTATGAGAATTAGAAAATGCTCAAAACTCCGGCTTAGTTCGTTGGGGCCCCTGAGCGAGGCCTGCAGAATACCACGAGCCACGCATTGTGTTCGGTGGAACCCCCTTCAGGCCCTCTTCTGTGAACCCTTCACTCATTGACCAGAAGAGAAAAAGCTGCGAAATGTACCCATCGACCCTACTTCGGCTACAACATTTCACATTGCTGGATTTATTTTTCATTATTTATTGCACAATCCTATTTATTATTTATCACTGATTGCGATTCTGTCTGCAGCCACTGTGCTGGTGGAGAGCGGGTACGTCACCTGCTGGTGGTGGTTTGACGAGTGGCTTTGGAACCACCGTTTGCATTGCAGCCGCAGCATATATTAGTTGAGCTCAGCGTAATCTGCAGCATAGATACATTTTAACATTTTATTTGCTACCAAAAACCATATGTCGATAGGCAACATTAACGATATGAAACCAGAGTGATCGAATTAAATATCAAGATTTATTTCGTATGATGTCGGTGTGTACGAGTATGTAGGAGCCACGATATCCAACTCATTGCGACGCACATCATCATCGGCAAGTCCGGCACCTTAGCTCTGCAGAACCTGCCTCTGTCTCTGCCTTCACCAAGACCCGCATCTGTCTTCACTCAGAGCGTCGACCCACCACTCGCAGCTGGGTGTATCCCACCTTCTGTCCAGCTGGCCTGGTGTGAACGGACGTGTATGGCCCTGGAACACCATCCGGATTTTGTGCTGTCACACGACGATAGAATCTGCAGCAGTTTCTTGCTTACAGTGACGCCATTGTCCAGGAGACAAAGAGGAACTTAGCGTCGGTCCAGACAAAACTACACAGATCGTTTTTGCACACTTACCTACTGTAATGTCTGTGCCGTCTTTCCAGTTCAGAGACCAAGATGGTTCTTTGTCGAAGGGCGTGTTGTAAATAAGAGCGTTTTTTCAGCCTTTACCGTTTTAGGTGTGACAAATTGCTAATTACTGTAATTTAATGTAATGCATTATGCATAATAAAGTAATCAGATACACCTTGCAGGTTACAGTTATGTATGTTATGCCTAAACAATATTACAGTACAGTTGCAGGTTTTAGTCAACCCTCCTCACGGCTCACCAAGTCAATTGCTGAGATCTACCAGCCTATCGTTTACATTTTGACCCATGTGCACGTCCAGTGTGCCCGCAATGGTGACTGGTAAGGTGTGTCAGGATAGAACCCTCGCCATCCACCTCTGAAGTCCGGTCCATGCGCACGCCATGGGTTTAGTAGTTCAGGAGAGCGGCAGGACGGCGCCCACAAAAACACCGGAGCTCCACACCCGGCGCTATCAGCGGTGGATGAGCCGGCGGCGGACGCTCGGCATTGTTGTGATGATAACCTGCCGAGTGGGAAGGTGCTCCGGTCAGTCAGAATACCAACGAGGGGAGTAGGAAGGGTCTCTGGTCATACCAACTAGAGGTGTGGGAAGGGATCATACTAGCGATTCCTGATCAACGTGAAGACTGAGAATGTTTGACATACGAGTATGTACCAACGAGAGATGCGCGCTGCGTCAGTGAGCCATGCTTTACCCTCTTGCCGCCAAGCTGCAGCCAACCCAAGCTCTCTACATCTCTTCTCAACTACTCCCTTCCCCATGGAGAATCCCCTCCATCGAATAACAACAAAGGGCCGCTTCGTGACCCATCCTCTTTTCCATTCGCCCCGCTGACCGCTCTTGGTCGCAGTAATAGGCTTCTCGATAGAACATTCCTCCTCTCTTCTCTTCCCCGCCGCTCCCCCCAGTGACAGCAGAGGACTGCTGCGCTGCGAGCCATCGGGGACACTCTGACTCCTAGTGACGTCACCAGGTCAGCGACCTGTCACGGCTCACTGACCCACTGCACACTCGGCGTCCCCCTGCTGCCGGCTGCAGCGGCCTCACGGATCTGGCATCGCGCCGCGCGCGCGCATATGATTAGCCGCTGAACGGCCATTGTCCGGCACTGTGAGGCCCCTCTCAGCGATGGTGTTGGTGCAGAGGCTGGTGTCGGGTTAGCTGGTGGTGGTGGTGACACTCTCTGACCGGACACGTGATGGGGCTGAAACGCTGAGACTGGCTTTGAACGTTGGATTGCTGAAAGTTGTGCTGGGACTAAGCATTACGAGCTACAGGGAAACGCTGGGACGCTGAAAGATCGCTCAGCGGTCAGTCGCTAACACTGTCCAGTGTCCAGCTTGCGGGTACTTGTGGAGAGTGAAATGTAAAATGTTGAAACGTGTTAGGATATTTGGCTGTATAATGCGAAGGCGAGTGAGATTGTTACGTAATCTGACCTACCGCGAGCAGAAGATTGCTTGACGAAATGATGCTTCACCACCTGAACAGAGACCTTGGTGTGCTTCATCCCTCTCCCTTCCTTCATATGGTGACAGTGTCCCCAGCAACCCCTCGTCACGCCTCCCTGGTGATGTCACCAGCCTCGTGTCACGCCCCGGCCGGACCCTGCCGGCCAGGGTCGGCCGGCCAGCGTCCAGCCAGTGCCCTGGCGCAGTCCCCTGTGATCACATGCGGAACTTTATATACTGTGGGGGGTGTAGCTACAACCCCAACTTTTAAAAGTACAACCCCAATAGCAAAACTACAACCCCAACATTGGAAAATTAAGAATCAGCCTAAAACACATGAAAATGAACAAAATATGTATCATACAGAAGCAGATAATTGAGATATATCAAGAAAGTGAAGATATCAATAAATTAGGACATCTTTTTTAATTCCAGATGCTATATAAAAACATTGAAAGTGCTCTGTTAAGAACATATTATTCCGCTGAGACTGAGACAGTGAGCATGATATGAAAGTTAATCACTTCACAGTTGTTAAGCATACTAAGTGAATCATGTTGAAAGTGTTCCAAAAAATCTTAACATGTAACATGAAAGTGTGAAGCAAACAAATCATAACATTCATCATACTTTTGCAGTGGCGGATCCAGCTCAGTTTTTTTTTGGGGGGGGGAACCATAACAACTTATCGATTCTTTCCATGCCTCGTCCATAGGCATAATGTTTAAATTATGCCGTTTGGGAGGGGCAAATGCCCATTTTGCCCCCCCCCCCCTGGATCCGCCACTGTACTTTTGGGTTTTCTCACTAAACATTTCATACCTGTGGGCTGTGCTTATCAAATAGATAAGCATATATGAAAAGTTTGACAGACAACAGTAAGCTTCAGAAATAAATTAACCTAACCTAAGCCTTCACCCTATGTAGCATTCTATCACCATAATCTGACCATAATAATGCGTGTCAACGACCACAGAGCCACAGAACTAAAGTGAAATATCACTCTGTTCGCAATTTTGTCAGTTGGCACAATACCACCAATCAGCACGAATATTAGGCTAAAATGACGACACTTGAAATCAACGTTGACGACCATAAAAAGTAAAAACCAATCCTGTGCGATAATTAGTGCTGATAATCTTACTGACAGGTTCGCGAACAGAATGCAAACGATGCAAACTAAGCCACATGTAAGCTAGCATGACGCATTTGATACAAATGCAAGGTTTTGGCGACGTCTGTCAAATCAGCATGGCAACGAATATCAGCCTCACAGCAGCATATTTCGGGGTCTTTCGATTTGGCTGAAAATCGGTATCCAGGGCCTCCTCGATGCGCTGATTCCGAAAATATACCTCTTTGGGGTGGTATTTTGCACCGTTAACGAGTTAATGACCAATTAACATTTTAACGGGAAACGGCGGGGTCTTTCGATTTAGCTGAAAATCGGTGTACAGGGCCTCCTCGATGCGCTGATTCCGAAAATGTACCTTTTTGGGGTGGTATTTTGCACCGTAACCGAGTTAACATTTTAATAACATTAACATTCCCATTTACGCCCTTCGTTGCGTTTTCGCAACGCAAGCAAGCGTCGACGTGATCGAAGCTTGAGAAGTGTGTAAAAGAGACTAACCGATGAGACAAGTTTCAGCGTGTGTAGCATGGTTGTGCGCATGATACTACGCAGTTACAAGTCTGTGCGGCCGGTAAGTTACTGCCTAGAGCTCCCAGAGGGAAGTCGAAGGTTTTGTGAGTGATGACGTCACGAAAACCAAGATAAGTAGGCTAAGTGCTTAATAATATCGTAATGAAAATTGTGTAAACATATTCTGCAGAGTCCCTACAATAGCGTAGATATGCATTTTGTTAAGAAATAATGCTACAAAAAGGGTTTGTGACTATTTTCAAATATGACTACGGTCGCGTTGCGGGAACGCAACGAAGGGCACATCGGAAAGACAGCGGTGTTGCGAAAACGCAACGATGGGCACATTGGCAGGGTAGCGGAAGTATGAATATCAACAGTAGACTTCACTCGTGATACGCTGTGGGTTCTCTCTTTCTCTCCCCCATCTTCCTCCCTCTCCTCCTCGTTCCCCAACTCTCTCCCCCTCTCTCTCTCTCTCTTTCTCTCTCTCTTTCTTTCTCGCTCTCATTTTGTAGCCATGAGGCTGTAGCGGCGGAACATCTTCAATTAAGGGGGGGAGCACTGCTGACTTTTGGTCTCATTCTTTCCATTTCCATTTCCATGCAACGCCTATCGGGATAATGTTAAAATGATAATCAAGGGTAATCATTTAGGGGATCAAGGGAGTTTAGGGATAATCAAGGGGGGCACGGTGCCCCGGTGCCCCCTCCCCCCGCTCCTCCGCCTATGCCATGAGGGACGTATATAGGCATGTTTAGTGCAAGGTGCGTTCGCACGTAAAATGTTGCGACACATTTCATATTTGCTTGCTCAAACAGCCACAAACACTCCTTTCTTTTTCTCTCGCAGATTTTCGGCCTCGGGCTGTTCGTTCACTAAGCAATGTGTTCCCATGCATCTGAAAATCGCATGGTAGGAAAAGGACCCATGCATCAAACGGTCGGCGATGCTAACGGAGCTGAGAGATAATTAGGTCCTTTGGAAATTGGATCTACTATGTACATTGTGCATAAATAATGAATAACGGGGATGTATTCTGGTATCAGGCGACAGATAGGCATCGCCATTCTCTGGATAGAATCTGCTGACTACCAGCATTTACGTTAGAAAAGATAACTGAGGGTCGGCAAATAGTGGGATAGGCCCCCTCTGAGGGTAGCTGAGCCCTTCGGCAGGGGTAATGAGGGCGGACCCATGGGAAAATAATAATTTTTAGGATTCATAACTCGCATAGATTCATAAGCTGCTTGATGTGGAGTATACGCCTGTTTTCTTACTTTGATAGGCTTTTTATCTAATCAGACCATTTTTAGAGCTAGCAGGATTATTGGAATTAGGGGAGACATTTGTCTGACCGGACACGGCCAATCGTAGACTGGAGACTGAGCCCAGCCAGTGGGCAGCCGCCACCCCCTTCCCCCCTCCCAAGCACTCACTGCACCCGGCTACAGGCGCGCTCCTATGTGAGCTGCCCGATTGCGATATACATCATGTCGTTGTACGTTGCCGGTCCAGCCCGGAACAGGGGGATGAGGCGTGGAGGAGGATTCAACTATCCTGAAGATGGAAAGGACGGATTGACGTCGAATCACCATTCTGTCCTGGCATTGTCTCGAGAAAGAGGTTACACGTGAAGGTCGCTGAGAGTGGGGCCATGAAAATTTTGGATTAGGTGTAAACATGATAAACTGGGAGTCGATTTGCTGTGATGCGCTACGCCTTACGCGGGTAATTTGTTAGAGCCGGATCGGTCCTTTTTTCTTTTTGCTGAGGCCTGAGAGTGGGTACGACTAACCTGCAATGGAATTTAACTTTACTCCTAGGAGGATGGTTAAAAATGATTGCGGATATACGCGCATACGAGAGGCACTGGTTTACTCCCAATCCTCCGTTTAATTGTATTCAGTGTGCACTGTGCAGGGTCTGATAGGTGGAGGTAATGGATCTGTCTAGCTTCCAAAAAGAAAGCATCACCCTGGATACGTGTCGACCACAACTTTAACTGAACAGCAATGGACAACGTAAATGGTTGATAATGACCGTGTTGCCATCTCCCCGTTCGCGAATCATGAAGTTATGCTTCCTCACTGAGGCTCTTAGGCGGGTTATAGAGCATGACGGATGTGGGTTCCGCATTTTCAAGCAATAGTGTCAACAGTTGATTAATGTTTTGTCAAAATATATTAGCATATACGGCAGTTCAGTGTACTTTATGTCCGTCTGATGTGCCCGTCGTTGCGTTTTCGCAACGCTGATGGCGCCCGGTGTGCCCTTCGTTGCGATTTCGCAACGCATGTTTTTTACGTTTTTCTCGAGAAACTTTTGGCTGCAGGCAAAAATTATTTTCGATTCCATACAAGGCCCTGGTAGGAGCATAACATATTTTGATTTCGTCGATTTTCATGATGGTCAATATTCCTGGGCATAAATGGGTTAATGGGAAACGGCGGGTTCTTTCGATTTAGCTGAAAATCGGTATACAGGGCCTCCTTGATGCGCTGATTTCGAAAATGTACCTCTTTGGGCGAGTATTTTGCACCGTTAACGAGTTAACGGCTAATTAACATTTTAACCGGAAACGGCGGGGTCTTTCGATTTAGCTGAAAATTGGTATACAGGGCCTGTTTGAGGCGCTGATTCCGAAAATGTACTTCTTTGAGGTATTATTTTGCACCGTTAGCGAGTTAACGACCAATTAACATTTTAACGGGAAACGGCGGCGTCTTTCGATTTGGCTGAAAATCGGTATACAGGGCCTCCTCGATGCGCTGATTCCGAAAATGTACCTCTTTGTGGTGGCATTTTGCACCGTTAACGAGTTAACGACCAATTAACATTTTAATGGGAAACGGCGGGGTCTTTCGATTTAGCTGAAAATCGGTATACAGGACCTCCTCGATGCGCTGATTCCGAAAATGTGCCTCTTTGGGGTGGTATTTTGCACCGTTAACGAGTAAACGGCCAATCAACCTTTTAACGGGAAACGACGGGGTCTTTCGATTTGGCTGAAAATCGGTGTACAGGGCCTCCTTGATGCGCTTATTCCGAAAATGTACCTCTTTGGGCGAGTATTTTGCACCGTTAACGAATTAGCGGCCAACTAACATTTTAACGGTAAACGGCGGGGTCTTTCGATTTAGCTGAAAATCGGTGTACGTTCAGTGTCTCAGGGGCAGACAAACAAGCCGCTATGTGTTCCTAGCCATCGTGGCTGTGAAGAGTATGCGTTTTGTTTACGATTCGCCAAACAATGCATAATTATACATTTGCTCGTTGAAAAAAGATCATCTAGTTAACCCGCGCCCCGTAGGGCTACCGGCGGACCCTACCATCCGTAGGGGGGGGGGGGGGCCGTTTCGGCCCCCCCCCCTAAGATCTCGGAAAGTTACCGGCCGATTTTCAAAATTCAAACGGCGTTCGATAGCCCCACCCGGTAACTACCTTGTGACCAAATTTCATTGACCTAGGTCAAACCGATGACGTCACAGGTCAGGTCAAAGGTCAGATTTTCACCGTTCACAGGCAATTCAAGAAATGTGCTGTGAAAGCGAGTAAATTGGTAATTTATTGAAAACCATCGATGGTACATTGTTCGTCAAACACATACTTTGCTATCTGAGGTCACTGATACCAGGTCAGGTCACAGCGAGGTCAGGTCACCGGGGGTCACAATATGAATGTGTCGTGTGATACATGTTTTATGGTCCATTTTACATGACAAATGCGATTGTGTGGGTTAGGCAGCCTTTGGGGCCAGCCTAGGTCACGTTTTTGTGAAGGTCAGGTCAAGGTCAGGTCAAATTAGGTCAAATTTCAAAGTTGATATTTTTGCATAAAATGGGTATCGATTCGATGCAGCTCGTCACGGGGAGTCTAATGGTGGTCTTCGTTTTGCTCTACAAGTTCTAGAATTGCCAAAAATTGAGTTTGAAAATTTGACGTCATCATTTTTGAACAGTTTTTTCGCTATAACTTGGCCAAAAAACGAGGTATCGATCTGAAATTTGGTATGTAGATAGAAGACGGTAGGCACTATCACATATATTCCGTTTTTTTCGAAACTCAAAAAACTTTTTGGATTTTTTGGCGAATATATAAAAAAAAATGCTTTTTTGATTTTTGGGGGTCAAAACTTAAGAATTTTAAAAATTCGAGATAGCAGTTTTGTAGTCCTGTCAATTCTAGACCTTTTATGTCTTGATCATTTTTCTGTATCTTCAAAGCTGTAGTCCTGACAGGCCTCTTCGCGAAGGTCTTTTTTCGGTCGAAAATGACAGAACATGACGTCACTCTGACGTCATTTGTGGCCAACCTATCATAGCCTCTGGAAAAAAATTTTGGTCACAATGTGTAAAATTGATGCCCGGAGGGGTCCTGAAAGTTTGGTGGCGATATCTCCAGCCGTTTAGGAGATATCGACCGAAAAGGACAGGGGGGCCGTTTCGGCCCCCCCCCCCCTACGGGGCGCGGGTTAATTGAAGTATTCGGTGATATGAAAAGGCTGTGGCATTTATTATTTAGTTTCCTCAGGTT